TTCGCTGGCTGACTGCTCGAATTCTCGATTTGGCTAGTACAAGAATTCCAAAATAAAATCGAGAACACCCTACCCTTTGATTGTTGCCTTCGATCTGTAATGTAGATCGAACTGACTCAATTCCATTGCCCATTTGAGTAACTTACCCAAAGCTTCCATCTTTTGAAGAACTTGCCTGAGCAGATAGTTGGTCAGAACATGGATTGAATGGGCATGGAAATAGGGTCGTAGCTTTCTAGAGGCGATCAGCAGGGCATAAGCTAATCGCTCCATCTTTGGATACCGCATCTCGGTGTCCAGTAGTTGCTTGCTCACGTAATACACTGGCCACCGAACTCTACCCTATTTTTGGATGAGAGCTGCACTGACCGCATACCAAGAGAAGGACATGTAGAGGAACAGAATATCCTTGGGAAGAGGTTTGGATAGAAGATGCGGCTTTCCGAGGTGTTCTTTTATACTCTGAAAAGCCTGCTCGCACTCTGGAGTCCACTCGGACTTCTTGTTGGCCTTGAGTATATTAAAGAATGGCAAGCAACGATCTGTTACCCTCGATATGAAGCGACAGAGAGCCGTTATCCTCCCATTTAGGCTCTGAACTTGTTTTTGGTTGGTCAGACTTTTCATATCAAGGAGAGCTTGGATCTTCTCAAGGTTGATTTCAATCCCCTGTTGGTTAACCATATACCCCAGAAACTTTCCTGAGGATACTCCGAATGAGCACTTAAGAGGGTTCAGCTTCATTCTGTACTTTTAGAGTATGTCGAACATCTCAGCGAGATGCGTTATGTGATCTGAAGTGACATGCGACTTGGCCAGCATGTCATCAACATAAACTTTCATCGACTTTCTGATTTGCTTAGAAAACATACAGTTAACTAGTCGCTGGTAGGTTGTCCCAACGTTTTTCAAGCCAAAAGGCATGATCTTGTAACAGTACAGTCCTCGATCTGTAATAAATGAGATATGCTCTTCGTCAGGTGCGTACATCGAGATCTGATTGTACCTCAAGTAGGTGTCCATAAAGCTTAGCAGCTCGTGCCTGGAGATGGCATCAACAAGTTGGTTAATCCTTGGCAAGGGAAAACTGTCTTTCGGACACGCTTTGTTAAGATCGGTGAAGTCGATGCAGGTTTGCCACTTTCCGTTGGGCTTCTTTACCAAGATTGGATTGGCAATCCAACTTGGGTAACGCGCCTCTCGAATAAACTCGTTTGAGATGAGCTTATCTACCTTACTCGTCAAGGCAGCATAGCGCTCTAGGTCCATGGCTCTTCTCTTCTGGCAAACTGGTTTCATTGCACTGTAAACATTGAGTGCATGACATATTATATTTGGGCTGATCCTGATCATATCAACATGAGTCCATGCAAAGACATCGACATTCTCTCTGAGGAAGCTCGTTAAGCTTTTAGCGAGTTGGGGATTGAGATTACTCCCAATTCTCAACACTCGAGTCAGCTCATTTTGATCGATGAATATCTCAGATAGATCCTCAACTGACCCACTATGAGGGCACTCTTGGATGCGTAGATCCATGTTGTCCTCTATTGGGTCGGGCTGAATGCGATCCTATTGATCGCCATAGCCTGTTTGGGGATGCCTATTAGCCTTCTTTTTCCCTTGCACGCCATCTGCACTGCTCTTATGTAGTAGTCGTGAGATTCGCGTTCAGATCCTTTTACTTCCCCAATCCCCGTCAGAGTGGAGAACTTCATTTTCAAATGATAGATGGAGGTGACGACCTTAAAACTTCGTAGCAGAGGTCATCCCAGAATGCCATTAAAGGCAGACGGATGGTCTACTACCAAGAACTTGTCATCTTGGTCATTTCGTTGGTCTCACTCAATGTGACATGAAGTGCGATCGTACCCTTAGGAATCAGATGATCCCCAGTAAAACTGTAGAGAGGGATAGAGGCAGGCTTCAGGTCTGCCTCATCCAATTGCATTTTTTCGAAAGCTCGCTGAAACAGGATATTCACAGCGCTTCCATTGTCTACCAACATCTTGTGGACTTCGCACCGAGCTATTTCAGGCATGATGACTAGTACATCCTCATGGGGATGCTGCAATCGCACCGCATCTTTCTCTGAGAAGGTAATCTCTTCCTTCCTGCAAACCTGAGTAGGTCACGGCGTCGTGCTTATCACATTCACGGGGTCATGACGAGCTTCACAAGCGTACCTTTCCTGGGCAACTCGAGAATTCCCTACGAGGTGTGGTCCTCCAAAAATGATCCCCACATAGTAGAGACCTTTACGACCATGGCATTTCTTCATTTGTTCCTCTTGATCCTTTTACCAAATGAGAGTCGGACTATCAACATACTCCTTGAAGTGACCTTGCTCGATAAGGTTTTCAATTGCTTGCTTGAGAGCCCGACACTCATTGGTGTGATGCCTATTATCCCGATGGTAGCGGCAATATTTTTTGTTGTTCCTGGCTGAGGGGGATTCTTCATGGGCTCTGGCTCTCCGAGTAGGCTGGCCTCCTCTGATTTATCCAGAATGACCGACATTGAGGCATTCAAAGGAGTGTATTGGCTTTTGTCGCGATCGCGATGAGGAACTTGGGCATAAGATTTTTTGGGCTCGAATCGTTGCTTCTTTCCTTTTTGCTAATCGTCATTAGCCCATCTGTGATCAACCCTTTCTACTATTCTTCCCTCGATTGGGAGCACTGGTTGAGGGACCAGAGTCATGGCGATTAAGAGCAGCCACATAATTTTGATTCAGAGATACTTCTTAGTGAGGTCATAGAAGTGAGTGAGGGAAACATCGTCCTCTGATTGCAATTCTTTCCACAAGTCAGTTTGTCGACGAACCCCCGCAATAATGAGAGTTCGAATGGACTCTTCGATAGTGTGAGCCACTTTGTGAAGTTCCCTGTTGAATCTGTTTATGTAAGACTAGAGGGACTCATTCCTCTCCTACCGTATATTGCTTAGATAGCTTAACAGCATCGAGAACTTCCTATTCATCTGGAAATGCCTCAAGAATGACGAGCTCATTTGTTGCCACGAGCTGATAGATCCTACGAGAAACGATTTGAACCAGCGCTTGGCATAGACAGTCAGAGTTACTGCCAAGAAGCGACATTTGGCCAAGTCGGAGACTTGATTGAGTTCCATGAGGTCGTTGAACTCGTAAAGGTGATCCTGAGGATTAGAATTCCCGTTGAATGCCTGCATATCGGGTATTCTAAATCTTGACGGGAGAGGAGCAACTAACATTGTTGGAGAGAAGGGAGACGCCTCGGCGACCTTCCCATGCTCATTTTGTTGAGCTTTAAGTTGATCCAAAGCTTGTTGTAATTCCTTAATCTAAGGTAGTGGAGCTGCCTGAGGATCACTTTCCTCAGCATGGGTTCGACCCTCATGGTTGCGATTAAGGAAAGACCACATATCAGATTCTTCCTCAACTCGGCCAGAATCTCCGACAAACCTTGACACATGTTGACTGGGGCTGTGTGAAGGCATTGATTGGATTGGGGAGTTTTCCTGACCTCCGCGGTGGTCAAAACTGACCCACAGATGACAGAGGTTTCCCGCATGATGACGGTTGAGGTAATCATTTTGGCAATATTGGGAATCTCCCTGCCTTTCACTTTTGTGGGAGTGCCCATGAGACATAGCATGGGCACTATTTTAAAAGTCGGACCGGACTGGCCGGTCCAACAGGTTAGACCATGAACCGATCACGTGTCCGGTTTGAGTCAACATTAAACCCGCTATTATGCAATAAACCGCTTTAACCCGTAATGGACTGCGTGAACAGTTCTGGACCCCCGGTCCAATCGGACTGCAAGAAAAAGTGGTCCAACTAAAAAACAAAAAAACCCTAATTTCTCCCTTTCTCCCTTTGCCCTGCGTAGTTTCTTCTTCCTCAGTTACTCTACGCGCAAAAAACTCTGAAATTTTTTGAATGAAATTGCGAAAATCTGAAAAAGATCACAAATCAAAACTCAATCTTGACGACGCGTGCCAATCGCAACCATCCCTTGTTGAAATCGCTACTCCAGTCTCTGAAATCGTGACGAAGAGTTCCTCCCTCGTTGGAAATCGACGATGCGTTCCTCCCTCGTCGGAAATCGATGCAATTCGCTAGATTTGTTTCCACTATTTTTGTTTTCAATATTTTCCTGTTATGTAGTTAACGTTCTCAAATACTCCAAAAGGGTCCTCAATATTGCTGTTTACTTGTGAATTCACAGATCTAAGCCCTCTTTCTCTGTTTTGGAGCTTGTATGATCTTCAAGGTGACATATTTTCTCTTCTTTATTCGTATCTCTACATGGGTTATTGATTCCAGTTGTGTTTTAAATTAGCAGCAATAAGTTTTTGTATTTTTATTTATGTATTGCAACCTTAGATTTCGTTTCATTGTAAGCTCTAAGAAGACCAAGCTTTTTATTGCTTAATCATTTTCAAGACTTTCTTATGATGGATTGTAGAGGGTTTCATTTGTTAATCTGGGTTGTGTCAGTCTTGTGTTTAGTATGTTTTGGTTGTTGTCAATATGCTTCCAAAGACAATTACCTCCTAGACTGTGGATCACTCACCAATACTACAGTGGATGGTCATGTGTTCATGGCTGATAAATTGGCTGGTAAATTGCTTTCTTCTCCACAAGTATTTACCATACAAAGAGCATTAAATCAAACAAAAACGTACAAGAGACCCCAATCAAAATAACATAAACCATCTTGTGCCTTTTCTTTTTCATGGGTAATGGCTTTAGTTCTTACATGAGTTGGATTGGATCTCTTATTTGCTTTTATAGTGCACTCATAATTATTATCCCTGCTATTGTGATTACTTTCTCTTCACATATTTGCTTTTATCTTTCATTTCGTCCCCATCGGTTACTGAATTCAGTTTCTTCTTCAACAGGATGGAAAGGTTTCACAGCTTGAGCATGTTTTCATTCGGGGCAGCAAAGTCAAGTGTTATATCATATATACTATTTTGGTCATAGTGATCAAGCTAACTGTGTTATAACTTGAGATATTTGGTCACCTATTATCATATTGACTGAATTATTTTGAAAACAATACGAAATTTATACAGGTTTATGGTCATACCGGACATGTTAAAGAATGCTCCAATGTTCAAGCGTCTAGATGCTAGAATCAAGGTATCCTTATAACTAAGTTAATTCTCCTGAATCACATTCTTGTATTATGATTTCTGACTTAAAATGTTTCTAAAATCTTGAAGGGTAAGAGCTCATCAATTGGAGTTGGTAGGGGCAGGGCTGTGGCAATGCGGGCTAAAGTAAGTAGCTTTTTAATTTGTTATTATATATTTGTATATTTCCATGACATACATATATACATTCTCAAATCAATTATTGTAAGGATGCAAAATTTGATAGAAGCTCAACATTCCAAATGCGTTGATATCGATGAATGAGAAATTTGGGTACTTTGGGCATACTTGTTGCTACAATTTATACTAGTGATAAAGTTCCACTTTTTGTTTCCAGTACCGACTCAGGCTATGAAATTAATGAACTTGGAGAGATCCTTACTGCTTCTGTGCTTAAGCGATAGTTGCAACCAATCATGACTTACCTTTTTTATTTTATTAACAGGCTGCAGCAGCTGGCCGTGGAGCAGCACCTGGTAGGGGTGTTGTACCACCTGTTCGAAGGTAATCTTCCCTTGGAAAACTGTAGATCATAACCTTCTCTCTGGAGCATTATTGTCAACTACTGTAGGTCATCTGAGTAATGTCTTCAGTTTAGGACTCCTGCTCTTGAGGCCCTTAAAACTTAATGAAAAATGATGCTGCTGTTCCTGCTTAAATTTGTTGAAAAGAATGGGGCGGGAAAAAGGGATTATGTTACCTGGACTATCACAAGCTCAGTTTTTGTAATCTATTGAATATTACTAATTTGATCTTTTATGTGTTTGGAATTTGGACAGTTTCTATTGGTAATGTGACCTTTTTATTACAGCTCAGCATGTTGATATGGTCTCAGAACTTATCCATGAGCCTTTTTATGTGATATGATAGGTGACCTCATCATGATGTGTGATGACATCACCAGTCCAATCGGTGGTCCAACCGGTTGGACCGGTTGAACCATGACCCGGGCAGTAGAGCGGGTTGCCCTCCGGTCTGACTTTTAAAACAATGGGCATGGGATGGCTCGTGCTGCGACATGTTGCCAAGTCACAATGCCACAAGTATTCCACCTGTTGCACGATCGGTGTTCGCTAGTCCCTCGGAGCCCTTCGGCCCACTGTTTACCACTTGCTTCCCTTATTCTTACGCACTGTAGTGCGTGCGGTATGGGCTTTTGCCATTTTTTGCGCTTTTGCGTGACCTGCAAGCGTCTTTGATGGTGGCACTGCCTCGTCGAACTCTGGTGGTACAACTTGATCCAAACGGTCTAACCTTTGGCTAACCATTTGGAGAGCATTGTTGAACCTCTCCAGGTAATCCATCATGGTTGGGTCGAGTTGTGAGCTCGAAGGAATATTCGCCATGATACTCTGCTGGACTGGAGGCACTTCAGGAGAAGTGTCATCTCGTACCTAGAGGATTTCCTCATTTTTAAGGTTGGTTCGCTCAGTTTTGAAACCACGAGCCATTTGCTGCTGGATGGGACCGATCGGTCAGAGATTTTTGATGAAGAGCGAGTACTAAATCAGGCCCTCCTTCTAGCGCCAAACTGTTGATGCTTGATTTCGACACCAATGACTCGCACGTGTAAAGTGCTAAGTGGACTTAGAAATTACACGTGATATGGAATTGTGCAACGAGAGAAAAGACAAGAGACAATTTTTAAAGTGGATCGGATGCTCAAAAGCGAATCCTACATCCACTATATATGTATTAATGGATGATTACAATCAGGTCGCGTACAGCGAGCTGAGTTACAGTCTAGAGAAAACTTAAATACAAAGAGAGAGAGTCTACTTTTTAAGAAACTAAAGAATGAGTCAATCCCGTAAATGAGAGAGGAGTCCTCTATTTATAGTCGAGAGATTCAAGGTAGTAATCATAATTCTGCAGTCGGGCAGGTGTGGTACAATTCCTAACCTGCTTCCCATTGGTTGTCTACACATGAGATATCTTTAAATCGCGTAGGGCTTGGGCAGGTGGTCAATTCCTAGCCACTCACAAGCCAGGCTTTCACCTACCATACTGACGACGGCCTTACTTCTTCCGTCCTTGCGCAACGTGGCAGCGTCTGGAAGACACAAATCCTTCCTAAACTCTGATTGGCCCGTGCTGGCATGCGCTTACATCAGCCCTGATTTTTTATGCATAACAAAGGAGAAGAGCCCTTATCTTCTTCTGGTGAACCCAGTTCATAAAAAGATCCCAGTTCTCATTCACAATGGCAAACCCATCTCTGAATCTTCCATCATCGTTCAGTACATCGATGAAGTCTAGAACGATAAAGCGCCTTTGCTTCCGTCTGATCCGTATGAGAGAGCTCAAACAAGGTTTTGGGCTGATTATATTGACAAAAAGGTAACCATTTTTAAAGTTCATTGTGCAGGGACGGAGGCAAGAAGGGACTGCTTTGGCAGGTGCCCCCATTGGATTTTTGGGGGAAAAACATTTATTATCAAACTAACCCGTCTCGTAAAATATAATATATATTTACAAAACAAATTTTAGCAAGATACCCAGAAAGAAAAGTTTTTTTTTTTTTTTTACTATTTCTCTTAAATGATTTTTTTTTTCTTTTCTTTGTTGACTTTTTTCTTTAACTTTTTAATATATAAGTTAAAAATTCCAGCAAGTAATTATTGATGTTTGATGAAACTAGTAAGTGGACTAAAATTGATGATAATTAATTGTCAATATAAATTAGAATAATACGATAAAAATCTTTTCACCAAATTTAATGGTTTAAATACTTGTTTATTAAAAAATTTAAGATTTATTATGGTTTAAATTTACCCATTTATTTTAATTTCTGGCTACGACCATGAATGCAGGTGTATGATGCTGGGAGGAAGCTATGGACCACCACAGGTGAGGAGCAGGAGGCGGCAAAGAAGGACTTCTTTGAAATCTTTAAAACCTTGGAGGGGCAGCTTGGTGGCGAGCCATATTTTGGGGAAGAGAACTTGGGGTATGTTGATGTGTATTTGATTCCTTACTATTGCTGGTTTCATGCATATGAGACGATGGCGAATATCAGCATGGAGGGAGAGTGCCCCAAATTGGTGGCATGGGCGAAAAGATGTGCGCAGAAAAAGAGTGTTTCAGAATCGCTTGTTGATGAAAAGAAAATCTCAGGGTTTGTTCTGAAGTGAGGAAAATAAGGTTACGGTTGGAAGAAATGCAAAATCCTGTCAACTTTGCTTTGGAGGATTGTTTATTTCATGTTTAAAAAGTGTTTTATTTGGTTTTTTTTTTTTTTTTTTTTTTTAATGTTTTGTGATTTTTCTAAATGAATAAAATTATAAAAAAGACATTTTCTTTCGTGTCTTTTATCTGCCTTTTGAATCCCTATGTAAAACATCATTCTTATACTTAAGCAAAGTTGTGATATCTCTAGAAAATTTTAGCTTTTCTCTCTTTCTTTTTTTTTTTTATTATTTTTTTAACAATAACTTATTTGAAAAAATTATGTATAATTTTTTTTTTTCCATATATGGTACTATAATATTGAGAGTGCAATGTTGCCAAATGACTAGTTCGACCAGTTGTTGAACCAAAATCCAAATATTAAGAGTCTATTTGATAGATAAAATGTTATTCTGTAAAAGTGCTTTAAGTTGAATTGAGTTGGATTAAATTGAATTGAATCAGATTCTGAAAATGTATTTGTTAAAATATCTGAAAAGTGTATTCAAAGTTGATAAAATGCTAAATAGTTTGGTATATTTTTTGAAAATATTTTAGATTTTTTGTTAATTTGTTAACCTTCTACATTTGTTAATTTAGCTGAACACCCCCATAATAAAAGTTTAAAAATTAAATAAAGCACCCCAACAACCCAAGAGGACAACTAACCACCACTACTAAACGGCAACTGTCAGTCGTCAGGATGGCACACAACCGGTTAGATTTGGCCGGTCGTATGCCGATATGGCCGTTTCTAGCCAAATCTACGGCCAACCATCAATGGTTAGAACTCTGGCAATAGATTTGGTCGAAAATGGCTAGATCGGCGCACGATTGACTGGTCATGCATCTTCCAGCTACGTCGGTTAACGATGGCCGATGATGGTTGAGGGTAGGCAGTAGTGGTCTTGGGTGGATTAATTTTCAGATTTGAAGGAGTGAAAGGTAAATGGTTTTAGTTGAATAGAGTTGAAAAATATTTTGAAAGTACTCAAACACATATCCTATTCTTTAATTCAAATAGGATAACATAATAGTAATCTAGAATAATGTAACAAACAACGGCTAAAATTAGAGGGTATTGTTATCACATATTTATATCGTAAGGATTCACGTTTTCGTCATATTAATGCAAAATAATTTTCAACTTTCAAACTGCAAAAGGTATTTTGAAAATTATGGAGAAGATAATGTATTTTATTTAATAATTTATTTCACCATTGACGAGAGATAGCTAGTGGATAGAAATAATTTATTCAAGTTATGTCGACAAAACCAAGAAATCTGATAAACAACTAAACCAAATAAAAACAAATCACAATCTATATAATCAAACGTTTTTGTAAATTGACCCACTATCTACTCCTTTAAAAAACTCTTTTAAATATAAATTTACTTAAAATCACAAGTTTCAAGATGAATTCATATATAATATTCATGAATGCTTATATTAAGTTATATATACAAATGATTCATTAATCAAAACTTTTAGAATTTCAAGATTCATGAATAAGTAATTAGAATTTTTTATCAAAAAATTGTCTTATGAGTTGACTTATTGGCCGGCCAATTACACACACTCGTCTATAAATACATAAGAAAGTTTTTCATTTCTTCAATCTCTAATCATCTTCAACTTAAGAATTTCTCCAAAAATGGCGCAGGAGGTGATTCTATTGGATTTCTGGCCGAGTATGTTTGGCATAAGGGTGAGAATTGCATTAGCGGAGAAAGGCGTCAAGTATGAGTACAGAGAAGAGGACTTGTTGAAGGGGAAGAGCCCTTACCTTCTTCAGGTGAACCCAGTTCATAAAAAGATCCCAGTTCTCATTCACAATGGCAAACCCATCTCTGAATCTTCCATCATCGTTCAGTACATCGATGAAGTTTGGAACGATAAAGCTCCTTTGCTTCCGTCTGATCCGTATGAGAGAGCTCAAGCAAGGTTCTGGGCTGATTATATTGACAAAAAGGTAACCATTTTTAAAGTTCATTGTGCAGGGACAGAGGCAAGAAGGGACTAGCTGCCCCCACTGGAGATTTTGGGAAAAAAAATTAATCATCAAATTAACCCGTCTTGTAAAATATAATATATATTTACAAAACAAATTTTAGCAAGATACCCAGAAAGAAAAGTTTTTTTTTTTTTTTTACTAATTCTCTTAAATGATTTTTTTTTCTTTTCTTTGTTGACTTTTTTCTTTAACTTTTTAATATATAAGTTAAAAATTCCAGCAAGTAATTATTGATGTTTGATGAAACTAGTAAGTGGACTAAAATTGATGATAATTAATTGTTAATATAAATTAGAATAATACCATAAAAATCTTTTCACTAAATTTAATAGTTTAAATATTTGTTTACAGAAAATTTAAGAATTATTATGGTTTAAATTTACCCATTTATATTAATTTCTGTCTACTACCGTGAATGCAGGTGTATGATGCTGGGAGGAAGCTATGGACCACCACAGGTGAGGAGCAGGAGGCAGCAAAGAAGGACTTCTTTGAAATCTTTAAAACTTTGGAGGGGCAACTTGGTGACAAGCCATATTTTGGGGAAGAGAACTTGGGGTATGTTGATGTGTCTTTGATTCCTTACTATTGCTGGTTTTATGCATATGAGACGATGGCGAATATCAGCATGGAGGCAGAGTGCCCCAAATTGGTGGCATGGGCGAAGAGATGTGCGCAGAAAAAGAGTGTTTCAGAATCACTTGTTGATGAAAAGAAAATCTTGGGGTTTGTTCATGAGTTGAGGAAAAGGTTAGGGTTGGAATAAATTCAAAATCCTGTCAACTTTGCTTTGGAGGATTGTTTATTTCATGTTTAAAGTTGTTTTATTTGGGGGATTTTTTTTTTTTTTTTTTTAATGTTTTTGTGATTTTTCTGAATGAATAAAATTTATAGAAAGACACTTTCTATTGTGTCTTTGTTCTGCTTTTAAATCCTTATGTAAAACATCCAAAAATTAAAATTAGAGGGTAATGTTATCACATATTTTAGTAATGTTTTGTTTACAACTGCATAAATCATATAAACGGATAAAAATTGTACAAAATTTATGTAAAATTACTACGTTATTCTTTGTTTTTTGTTTGTTTGTATGATTCAGTTATAAACATAGTATTGTTTCACATATTTATATCATACAGATTCATGCTTTTGTCATATCAATAATGTTTTATTTACAACTGAGTCATACAAACAGATAAAAATTATGTAAAATTTATATAAAATAAATACTTTATCCTTTATTTTTTATCTATTTGTATGACTCAATTGTACATCTTAATTATAAACATAATATTGCTCTTTGTCATATTAATGCAAAATAATTTTCAACTTTCAAAAAAGCTAAAGGTACTTTGAAAATTATGGAGAAGATAATGTATTTTATTTAATAATTTATTTCACCATTGACGAGAGATACCTAGTGGGTAGATATAATATAATGAATGAATCAATACAGAGTCTGAATGAATAAAATAAAATCTTGTAGTTAATCAATGTTTATACAAATATAATAAGTTTTTATTGTGTCTACTTTCAAGTTTCAACTCATCCAATATTTTTTTTTCCTTAAACTATAGCCATGAGCAGCAGATTTTGACATAAAATGCACTCTTAACACGAATGACGGAAGAGATAAGGCCATAAGTTATAAAAGAATCATCCATGTCGTCTTCTAGACAAATTTTAACACATCAACATACCATTTGCACTTCTCCATCAATCCTAAACGACTTTTTCCCACCCAAGTTTTGCCTTAATGACTTTCCCACCCAAACAGTTTCGAAATACCACTTTCTTACACAAAGTTAATATTCTTTTACTATCTAAAGCCAATTCTAGCCGATTACGACAGCAAAAATTCTCTTCGTCACCACCATTTGAACATCCAGTCTCCTCTCTACAAAACCCCTCTCACTCGGACACTTGATTTCTCATCAATTGCTGGCCACTGTAAAGTTAGTGTTTTCTATTCTTAGTTGATTTCTAGCTGATTCCAACGATAAATATTCAATCGATCACTACCATTCGATTCATCGACCTCCATTCTACAAAACCCCTTACCCTAACTCTTGGTAACTCGCTGAACGCCGACTGAAAAAGTGAAGTGTATTGTAGGTATAAACTTTGGGTGAAAAAATTGTATTTTGAAACTTTTTGGTAGGAAAGTGTTATTAAGGCAAACCTAGGGTGGGAAAATAGCTTACTCTCCAATTAAATAGTTTTTTTTTTTTTTTTTTTTTTCAAACTCTAATTGGTATAACCATAAATCTAAAACACCCTAAATCCTAAATATCAAGTTTTAAATCGTAATTTAAAGTTACAAGACAATTACCTACCTTTGGGTCCATCTCATGGAACAAAGTCGAATGCAAGCACCCTCTTTACAAAATACTCAAACTTTGATTTCACTCCATCTCCCTTCTTTGGAGATTCACGGGTTTTCCGATTCAAGCCCAAATTCTGCTCCTTTTACTTATAATTAGTGCCGACAAGTATTACTTTTCAAAATGTTGCTCCAAAATGATGAAAAATGGGCAATTTAGCTTCGTTTCCGATTTCATTGTCTCATAATGGACTGAGTTTATGAACACAATGGTGATGGCGTTCAAGTAAGAATGAAGGCAAAATGTCTACAAATTACAAAGGAATTATTTCTCAATTTTAGTATCAAAATAAAGTTATATAAGTAGTTTTCTCAATTATTAATTACTTTCGCAATTTGAATAATGGATAAATAACACTTACCTCTCTAAAATTAATGGAACAAAAGGCAAAATAGATACTTCATATCATGCCTATCATTAGTAATTATAAAATAGAAATGTAATATACAATGAAAAAAATATTATATTTAAAATTTCTATGATGTATTTGATATTTGAAATACATAATATATATATATATATCCTAATGACACAAGAAAATTGTATTGATAAAAATTAAAATTACTTATTTAATGGAAAAATGTTGAAAATCTAATATTGAATTCTTGATTCCAATTATTTCATCAACAATTCACCAAGCAAAAGCCTAACATCTTATCAATTTGAAAGTGACATAATCCTGTAATTAGCTAGATATATATGTGACACCACAATTGATGGAATTTACGTGACGATTTCTTCTTGTTGTTTACGTTGTTTTTATGATTATGATTATATAATTAATCCTACAAGAAAAAATATTTTTTTATCTTTTAGAAGAAAAACCAAAGTTCAAAAAATAAAATACATAAAAGAAAAAAAGAACCCATTGCAGAAAATTGAAGCGATGGTGAATGGTGATTGTTGAAAGAAATCATCACGATGGCTAATGAAATTGCAGCTTTAAATTACTTGAGCCAAAAAAAAAAAAAAAAAAACAGAAAGGCTTTCTTAATTTGGAACCTTGGAGAGAGTCTAGTCCTTTTGATGCAAGCAATGACGAACTAATCAACCACATAGAAAATCAAGTTAAATTGTTTAATGATCAGTAACTTTGGCTAGAAATATTCTGGTACGCAATATTTGTGATTCGGAAAAGACAACATTTCCAGCTGTCAATATTGCCATCCATCTTCTTTCATACTTGAGCAAAGTTATGATATATCTTGAAATTTCAAGATTTTATTAGAAATAATTTGTATTTTCTGAAAGGATAATATTATAACGATATGATAAAGAATTTGTATACTTTTTGAAGATTACAAAGTTACCATCTTTTAATTAATTAGTACAGTATATATGAATACATCAATAACGATTTGATAAGAAGACTAGCATTAAACTTTTAAAAGTTACAGGGAAGATTAATTTATTTTATTTAATAATTTATTTCACCATAGAGGATAGAATTAATTATTATTAAGTCTTATAAAATGCATATACTTAATGCTAGTGACGGAGGAGATAAGAACCTAAATTATATAAGAATCCTTCATAATCTAATTTATTATTATTATCACAGTTTTGACCTAACCAATGAAAATGAAATCACAACTTTGTTTCTTTCTGGCTAAAAGTTTTTATTATGCCTTAAAAATAAGGGCTAATGTATGCTTACATCAGCGAGCATCAATCAGAATTCAAGAAGGTTTTCCACCATCCAAAATCTGACATATTGCCCCAAGACAGAGAGAATACGGCTATCATCAACTCAGCATGCTCAAGTTTTGTCTGTGAATGAATGAGGTCCGCATACCTGTCCAAGCCCCATATAACTTAAAGATATTTCCTAAGTTATCAGTCAATGGGACGCAAGAAAGAACTTGCACGACATCTACCCACTGGCAGACATGTAATCATTACCTTGAACTCAGCAGCTATAAATAGAGGACTCCCCATCACAAAATCATGATCTCTGATTTTCATAAAAACAAATAGCAAAGACAACTTACGGGAAAGAGACTAGCTTAATATTCTCTCTGAATACCAAGCTCTTGTAATTCTGCTCGCAGTTCGCGACCTCTGTAACTTGGCTTATAACCAAGAACACTTATATAAAAGAAAACAATGGATGTAGGAATCACTTTAAGCATCCGAACCACTATAAAATTCTCACTATCTCATTTATTATTTAGTCTTTACATGCTGCTGTGACCTTATCCAAACTCTCAAATTAATCATGTGTAACTTCTAAGACCTGCTTAGCATTTTGCACGTGTGAAGTTGTTGCTATCAAAATTAAGCATCAATAGTTTAGCGCTAAAAGGAGGGCTCATTTCACATAAGCTCTTCATCCGGTATTTTCAACTGATCAATAAGTTCTATCTGCAAATTCGTGGCTCGTGGTCTTGAAACCGAACGTGCTAGCACTAACAACGAGAACCCCCCGCGTTCAGGAGATTACTCCTCCCAAAGTAACTTTGCCTCCATAAAGTACTGCGGTGGGCAACCCCTCGACTTCTTAGCCAGATCCAACTGTGATGGATTATTTGGAAAGGTTCAACAGCACCCTCCAAACGATGGACCAAAGGCTAGATAGTTTGGACCAAGCCATGCCGCCAAACTCTGATAAGGCAGTACTACCTCTAAAAATTCTTATAGGTCACGCTAAAGTGTAGAAACGAGCAAAAGTTCATACCATGTGGACTACAACACGTAAGGACAAGGGAAAGCAAATGGCTGAGCATGGGCCGAAAGGCTCTAAAGGGCCAATGAATACTTGTCGCGAGCCAAGGAGAAAACCAGTGGCTTTGCAACTTAGCAGTATGTCGCATTATGAACCATCCCACGCCACATCGTAAGGGCACCCCCACAAGAGTGCTCAGCAGGGAGATTCCCACCATCGCTGAAATGATGGTCTCGACCATCACTGTGGGGGAAGTACCCATCGTCAGCGGGTCGGTTTTGACCACCACGGAGGTAAGGAGAACTCTCCAAGCCATTCAACGCCTTCACAAGGCTCTAGCCAACATGTGTCAAGGCCTGTTGAAGGCTTCGGCCAAGGCAGGAAAGGTTCTGATCTATGGTCCTTCCTCAATCGTAATCATAAGGAGCGTACCTACATTGAGGAAAGTGATCCCTAGAGGGCTCCACTTCCTCAAATAAAGGAGTTACATCAAACTCTGGATCAACTTAGAGCTCAACAGAATGAGCAGAGGTAGGTCGCTGAGGCGTCTCCCTTTTCTATTATAATTTTGACTGCTTCTCTCCCGTCAAGATTTAGAATGCTCGGCATGAGAGCATTCAATGAGAATTCTAATCCTATGAGTTTAACGACCTCATGGAGCTTCACCAGGTTTCCAACTTGGTGAAATATTGCTGCTTAGCAACAACTCTGATTGCCCACGCCAAACATTGGTTCATATCGCTTCCGACAGGGTCAATCAACTTGTGGCAGCAAATGAGTTCATTATTTTTGAGACACTTCCAAGCCAATTGTAAGTTCTCAATGCCGTTAAGCTACCTCAGCAACATACAGCAGGAGAAGAATGA